GATGTTCTTACTGAATATGAGTGTGTAATTTAACCACACTTAACACACTTCTAATGAAATTTATTTGAGCTCAAAAATTAATTAATTTGAATTATAGATGCTCTAGTTAAAAATATTGGTACCGTGGAGTGTCTGCCCCTGCCTCACACTATTATTTTCGATCTCGATATCAAGGTACCAAAATTCATTACGTTTCTTTGATTAATAAAGGTTTTTTGACCAAGTGTTTCGTGCCGCAAACGTTTTTAGTCATTATCGGCTATCTGACTGTCTTTGGTTTTCTTGAGTATTTTCAATACGCCAAACGAATTGATACTTGGATTAATTTAAATTACACTTGAAACATGTGTAACCGTATTATTCTAACAGCATCGTGTTCTAACAAATGAGACACGAGTCAAACGTTCGCTGAGGATTACATGTGACGTACAGAACTGCTAGGGTAAATGCGCGTTGCAAAATGTTTGCGAGACTTAAGCTATTTTCCGTATTCGCCCGTTCATCGTGCCTTCGGTAATCGTGTATTTCAATAGCAATAATCTTTTTTTCAAATATATGCTATAAAGACCGTTCGGCGTTCCTGAAATTGACCGTAGATAGTCGTCTCTGCCGTTGCCTTGGAAACCATCATCATTTACTACAAAGGCTTTCGGCATGGACTGAGCTTCGTAATGAAATAAGATGAACATAAAAACTTTTTTCTTTTCTCTATGCCCTGGACTCAGAACATAAAAACGAAAAAATATATACCAACTTAATACGGCGTTTGAACTTTATATTAAACATTCATTGTCTGCAGTACATACGCAAAATATTTAATAACATTAAAATATTGTCGAAACGTATAGTTATGGGTCCGAAATTCTGACGCGCGGATATCGATTTTACGAGTGTCATTGTTGGCCAATTTTATGCGTGATTAGTCTTAACCCTTTCATGCTTAACTTTTTATCTTTTTTCGAAAAAAAATGTCTACATGGTAAAATATGTTAAGGTCACGAGAAAAAAAAAATATTTGAGTTAAACTTTCCCTTAAAGTTGTATAAATTTTAATTTGTGCCAAATATGCTGTTATATAGGCCAAATGTTCGTTTGTGCCGTATTCGGCCGTAATGCATTAAAGAGTTCATTTTTTATTCGTACTACTTTTGACTGCAATACACTTAAAATATGCTCTATGGTACTCATGCATGAGTCCAACATTAAGTGTGGGATTTTTTTGTTCTGTAAAAAGTTATATTTATTCACGGTTCCGAGTTCCGAATCTGAAACCCGGAATACTTCTAATATATTTTAATTGATGGTAAGATGTTAAAGGGTTCATTTTTAGATCTAAAAAAAAAAAAACAATAAGTTACTATATTTTTATGAATGTTGTGTCAAATATGGCATTTATTAAGTTTTTATTTTTGTTCAAAAAGTATTATATTTAGAAAGTTATGCTTCTTTTTGAAATAAATCTGTCAAATTAACGAACGATATTTTTTCTTAATTCATTGATATCAAATTTTTGTTATAATAATATGAAACATGTGATAATTACTATTTTATGACAAAAATATTTGAAGCGATTTAATGTTTAACTATTTCTCACGGACATGATCAAATAACAAATAAAATACTCCAACACCTTCCTAAAAAATCAATAGTTCTTCTCACACACATTTTCAATTCTATGTTGAGAATGTCCTACTTTCCGTCAATCTGGAAATTATCTGTAATCATCCTTATACATAAACCCAATAAACCAAAAAATGAACCCTCCTCATACAGGCCAATAAGCCTTCTACCATTATTAGGGAAATTATTTGAAAAAGTGATGCTTAAACGAATTAGACCTATTCTCAAGTTCCACAAAATTATACCAAATACCCAATTTGGTTTCAGAGAAAACCATTCCACAACCCACCAGATCCACCGAATTGTCGACAAAATAGCCTCGTCGTTTGAGACCAAAAACTTCTGCCCTGGAATATTCTTAGACGTATCACAAGCGTTCGACCGTGTCTGGCATACCGGATTACTCTTTAAGCTAAAAATTTTCCTCCCGACTCCACTCTACTTGTTGACCAAATCATATCTACATGACCGCTCATTTCTCGTCCGCCAAGGAGACTCCCTCTCATCACAATTCAAAATCTTAGCAGGAGTACCCCAAGGAAGTGATCTATCACCAGACCTCTACAACATTTATACAGCTAACATTCCCAACTCTGAAAATACACTGATAGCCACTTACGCTGATGACACGGCAATCCTCTCATCCCATCCCGATTCCACAACAGCATATCAAAACCTCCAAATTCATCTTGACAATATTTTACAATGGTCCACCAAATGGAGAATAAAAATTAATACAGACAAGTCCTTTCACATTCCTTTTACTTTAAGAAAAGCTGTTCTTCCTACAATCTATTTTCAAAACAATCCAATCCAAACCACAACTCAAACCAAATACTTAGGTCTAATTTTAGACAAGCGTCTAACATGGGGCCCACACCTCAAAATTAAAAGAAAGACTCTCAACACCAGACTTCATCTACTACGACCTATCCTCAAGTCCAAACTCTCTATTGACAACAAATTACTATTATACAAATCAATGCTAAAACCTATCTGGGAATATGGCATACAAATTTGGGGATATGCTAAGCCTTCCCAAATACGGACCATACAAGCCTTCCAATCTATTTCCCTTCGCCTAATAACATCCGCGCCATGGTACGTCTCAAACCTCTCACTTCACAAGAATCTTAAAATTGAAACAGTCTCCAAAACAGCCAAAAACTACTACAAAAAGTTACACACCAAAATAGCTAACCACACAAATCCATTGATTTCCAACTTGGCCAGTGAATTCATGCCTAATAACCCCCCTCGTCGATTAAAACGACACTGGTGTCGTGATCTCCTAAATCCCGACCTGCACTAATTGAAAAAAAAAAAAAAAAAATAAAATTAAATTAAAAATAAAATAAAATAAAGCTCTCTCCCCCAAGTTAGAGGGTATCCACACTGGTGGACCTCCCTCCTCACGCCATTCACGTTATACCTACCTTTTTTTTTTTGTCATCATATTTACTTATTGTATGTATATAAATTACAGATTGTAAATATTCTATTTTATCTAATAAAAAAAAAAAAAAAAAACTATTTCTGACAATTTTAACACTTGATAGATGTAAATTTCAACAAATTTTTTTTTTTTTTTTGTGTCAAATTTGGCCGTATATGCCGTAACGATATAGTTTTATTTTCATAACCACAAATTACAAAAAACTGATTTGTGCTATGAACGGTACACTGCATGAAGAGGTTAAAGTTTAAAATAACCAACACACTTTAATTGTATTTTAAAACCCGATACGAACGGGTATTGTTCAAACAACAGTTACTGATGGTCGACCGATTACCTGTCAAAACTATTTAGTTTCACTCGCGTTTACGTTTTGTTTATGAAATCAAAAAGATTACATTTTAGCTTAAAAGCCTGGTCTAGATAATTATTCATATTATCATAACACACAATCAATCAAACAATCAATAACACACACACACATACACACGGTATTGCAATGATTTATGAATTATTATGAACATTTCGAGAGAAAAATATTTACACGTCAAGTTGATTCGGTTTGGTAAAAATCGAAACAGAAAAAAAACGCGTTCGAATTTTTTCGACGGACTATATACATTTACATATGCATATAATATATGAGTATTAATAAATGTATAAAATATAGTTGTCTAACGTAAAGTGATTTAACATTTCTATACTAGGATAAGTTGCATGCGATTTATTCCGATCGTCATTCGTGTGATAGTATTTTATCTCGATTAATCGTAGTTCTCGGTAAAAAAATGTGTGGAGAGGAGACTTAGAAATAAAAATTAAACAATCCGCTGTATACCGAAAAAACCGTTTAACTTATTTGTCAGACTTGAATATATTAACATAGTATAAATCATGTATTATGCTGTGCGCATTGGCAGAACACAACTGTATTGCTATTCGTCTTGTTATGTATAAAGTGCGAACTCGTGTTTCGGTAGTATAACGTACAGAAATGTTCCGTAAAAACACGCCCTCGGTGGCCACTTTGACGAACGGCCGGTAAAGGGTCTAAAAATCAAAATGACCTCTGTCCCACCACGGTGTACCTATTCCGAACCGACGTACGTTGGCCACGGGTAAAGCGAAAGGCTCGATGATTTTTTGCGAATTGCTTCGGTATAAAAATTTCTAATGCTCAACTTCGAGTACAATACAAAACGCGTAAAAATTTAAAACAACGAAATCGAATTTAACTCGTGCACAGTGGCGCAACCAGGTTAGAACCAGGTTTTCGGTCTCATCAAATGATAGGTTATAATGAAAATAAAACGACACCGTTTTGCTATTGCTAGTAAATTTATGAACGTAATATGAAAGATCCATATCCAAATATTGAAATTGCCCTTTGAATATTTGTCTCAACACCAGTTACTAACTGTACCACCGAACGTTCGTTTTCAGTTTTAAAAAGAATTATTTACATTCAACCATGTTGCAATAAAGATTAAATTCCTTGGTTATATTAAATATAGAGAGCGGCTTAACGTCATCATTAGATTATAAATACATTATTGATGACTTCTCCGGAATAAAAGCTAGAAAAAAACCTATTTAAATCAATACAATTATTTATAACATTTTTTTTGTATTAATTAAATATTTTTCTCGTGTAAATTTTTACTCGATAAAAACCAACAGATGATAATGCATTTGAAACCGTATTTTTTTAATTTTTTTTTTTAATTAACTTAAATGAAAAAATAATTGCATATTAGATGTCGAGGGAAAAAATTTATCACGTTAAAGTTGTTTTTTTTTCCGGATGGGAGCAGCAAATTCAATTTTGCATGGGACCGGAAATTTGTTAAATCCGCCTCTGACGCGAAAAAAACAAAAAAAAAATCATCCTTAACCCGGACTCGCGTCCGTTGTGTGCTTGCAGCGAGCAGAGAAGCGGCGTACTTTTACGCGGTGATCAGCGCGGGCGTGACGTACGCACTGATGGAGGCGTGCAGCCGGGGAAACATATCAATCTGCGGCTGCGATGCGCATTACCCGAGCCCCGTGGACGCGGGACCGGCGGCCACGGCGTGGAAGTGGGGCGGGTGCAGCGTGGACCTGCGCTTCGGCATGGGCTTCGGCCGCAAGTTCCTGGACGCGCAGGAATCGAACGTCAACGACTCCCGAAGCCTGATGAACCTGCACAACAACAAGGCCGGCAGGAAGGTACGCAGCAGCTCCGATTTATCGTTAAGCCCCGCGTTGATCCACGCGTCCGGCGGAGCGATCCGTTTCCGTGGCGCGGGCGACAATTCGCGGTGTTATTTTTCCGAACAGTTAAATGTGATTTCTCCCTGTTGCATGCATTGGATTGGAAATCACGTCGATCCTTGAAATGGGGAATCGCATCGTACGTTCAGCAAATAATATCACGAAACCGTCTACTCCACGAAAATACCTTTTTAATCCTGTATACATAGATAAATTCCAAATACATGTTGAATCACTCGCTCACTGATCGTTATTTCTCAAAAACATATATTAGTTCTGATACTTTTGGCGTGCAATAAAATGGGTTTTTTTTTAAAATCACATTTTGAAGGATCTAAACAGTTTTGGGCTAAATGCATAATAAACATTTTTACTTTTTGGTCACATAACTATTTGATTTTGTTTTATATGTTCATTTTAACTGTCACTGATTAAGATATGTGTAAATTAATATACAGTTTAAATCGATACAAATTGAAAATATTCAAATATACAAATATCATGCACTTTTTCAACCTAAAACGTTTAGGATATGAGGAATGTAATTTTTCTAATTTAAAATTTTAAAATTTCTCTCGTGTGGGGCTGGATAATTCAGCCAGTAATATTGTATTTTCAACAATTATAACACAGTACGCGAATATAATCTTATGTGTGTGTGTGTGTGAGAGAGAGTGTTATCCTCGTGGTAATGGAACACGATTTTTCTTTGTTTTTGCTTATCGTCATAAATATTATTTTCTCGTGTGCATTGTCGACATCTATTTGTCTAGAAAGTTTTTCTCCAAAGGAAGGGGGACCCGCAGTAGATTAGTTCGATGTGTTGGATATGTTTGGTGAAAACTTCCTTGGACGGAATATTTGATTATCAGAAAACCTGTCCGGGATAAACATTTTGATGCCGTCTCAAATTATCAAAGACACTCTTTCTATGGTTAATGTGAAAAACTTTTAGTGATTTTGGTCGAAAAATTTAACTAGGTATGTGAACTATTAAAAAAATAACACGAATAATAATTTCAACTCTTCACATCTGAAATCATAGATTAGTTTTTATTTCAACTAACATTAATTTGGCAGAAGTTGACCTCGTCGTTTGTTTTATTGACTTCTAAGGTGAAGGAATTACTAAAAAATTAACTTTGGCCATTCAGACCCTCGTTTATACTACTTTTTAAACATTATGTTTTATATATATTTGATTTGTTACAATAAACAGTCAGTGTGTTACGATAAAAACTATAAAACGGTGAGTTTACTAATCCACGTAGGATTTGACTCGGTTTATGTAACTCGTATTCACAATTCTAATTCAAAGATTATTTATATCTTTCAGTTCAATGAAATACGAATCTATAGTTCCCGAAATACATTTCTATGAAATGATAAGATTTCGGAGTAAAATCAATCGATAGCTGTTCGCGTCGTTTATAAATCCCACCCCACTTTTATGGCTTACCAAAATCCAATGGTAAATGATAAATAACCATAACACGATGAGAGTAATGGGTAATTTCCATTGAAAACATATTCTTATTCTGCTTCTCTAGAATTTATTTTCTTTTCAACACATTAACATCCGGATCGAGTATTCCCGAATCCTAATTGATCTTGGTGAACTAGAAGACTCTGTAGTGCGCGTTTTCACTACGTTCCCTAACTTATTTAGGGCACACTGTTAAATATTCATGTGGCAAGCATATTTTATTTTTTATTTTTTTAAATATGAATTTGGAGGCAAATTATGACAAAACAAAGAATAGAATTCAGATACATGACAAATTTGATGAGTGCATCCACATCTGATGTGTTAAGATTGAATTTAGATAATGCATCTGACGATGAAAACAATAACAAAAAAAAAAATGGAAATAACCAAAAACCTCTAGAGTTATTTGAATATAATAATCACTTTAGCTTTAGAATAAAATATTTTGTACGTGCATAAAATAATGAGTGTCCTGACAACAAAATTGTCGGCGATAACGAGTTCGTCTGATACAGTTTCTTTTTTGACTCAATTGAATAACAAAAGGGCTGGTTGACAAATTGGAGTTCAACCAACTTCACTTTCTAGAAGAAAAATAGGACTAACCTTGCGTTCAAAGAGAGTACAAATAGGTAGACTTACTGAAAATATCGCATCAAACGAAAAAAACAAAAAGAAATCTAGTAATGTTAACGACAATAAATCTAATTCAAAATCGCATTGACGTACTAACATAAAAAAAAAACAAATTAATAATAATAATAATAATAATGTCGTATAGAGTAAAAAAAAAAATAGTATACTTCAAAATTTAAAAAAAATAGTACGATATGAAAATATAATTAATTTATATCTGTAAAATATGATTAATATATGATATATTTATTATGTAATTTACTATTGGATACAACAGTTCTATGTGCATATATTATATATGTATGATCCGATGTATCAAAAAACACATTGACGTACTAACATGGAAAAAGTAAATAAATATGCTTGTTACATAAATATTTAACCGGTACGTCCTAAATCAGTTAGGGAACGTAGTGAAAACGCGCACTACAGAATCTAACCGGATTTGGGCACTAGTGCCCCACCTCGGTTAGGGTTCTGAAATACGCATCGAGGACACAAAAAGTACAACGCTTTTATCTTTATATTTACTATATTCTTACATGTTATATATATACGTAAAAGCACTCATGGTTGAGCGGGGGAAGGGAAGGATGAGATTTTTTTTTTTTTATTTCACGACCCGTTTTGTTACGATTATAATACTCAGTATTCACGTCGTGCTTCACTCAGTTAGGTTGGGTTATATATTTTATACGACCACCGATGGTTATTTAACCGACAAAGACTTTAGTTTTCTCTTCCTAATATCGTTGAACGATATGTCAAATAATAACTCTACGGAGCGCACTGCTGCATAGGTATTGAAAATAGGTATTGAAACCGATAATGAACCTAATCCAAATGCACCGTTTACGATATGCAGTGGTTTCGAAACCAAAAAAATGCATCTGAGCCATACTTAGAAAATCACGTGTATTGACTATCCCACATGACTGTATTAAGTGCTTAATAATATTTATCTACATTTTTTTTCTTTATACACACACACACACACACACACACACACACACACACATATATATATATATATATATATATGTATAAAAGTCGTAGATAACGCTAAAAAAAAGATTATTCAAGCCAGTGCTATTTACCATATGCATATACTAGCGGCATTTTGGATAAAATGAGGTTTGTAACTTTTAAAATAATGTCCCTTTCCTACGAAAATGTTTTCAATTTTTTGTAGATGACATGATACGTTATATAATTCATAGTGCCTGTTTTGGTAACTCATGTAACCATCTTGATCTGAGTTAAAAAGTTGCTCTTACGAGTTTGAGCAGTAATTTAAAAGTTATGGAAATCGCGGAATTATGTCAAAACTTCTTTGTTGTATAATTTAATTAAACTTGCAGAATGAAAATAAAAATTACGATATTTTTTCACTTATCTTTTCTTTTCTATGTCTTTTTATTTTTGATCTAATTCGTTTAATTCGAGTAATCCGTTTTAAAATCTGATATTATTTAAATGTAAATGCACCGTGGAGAAATTCAATGGATCTACTTTAGAGTAGTGCACCTGCTGTATGATAGAAAAAGTAACGAACAGATACGCGTTTTTTTTATTTTATAATTATAATTTTCTTTAATTGAAAATTAGTGACTACTACAGTATAACTATTCCGTTTCAAATATTTTGTACGGATTTATTCTCAATTGTGATGTCTTTGTGTTTTTTTGAAAATATGTGTTTTTTAAAAAATAAGATGCAATTATGAAGCATTATGGATCACGAATCTGAAGAAAAAAACCTCTATAATTGTACATAAGGTATTAAGGAGTGTAAAAGCAGAGATTTAAAATTTAAAAAAATTCCTTAATATAGGAACGAATAAATTATGAAATGCAAGAGAGCAGGACTATATGCACGTACTAATACAAAATGAAGCGTTTTTTTTTTTAAAAGACTTTAAACTATTATGATGCGCATAAATAATTGGGGGTCCATACCCCTAACCAAATCTCAAACTAATCAAATCAGATTTAAAATCTCACCTGAGATTTTAAAATGAGTCCTAAAACAAAAAAATGATATTAAATTCATAAATAAATAAAATAATTGAAAAAGTGCATATTTATCGACGAAGGTATATTTTACTTTTACTATATTAAAACGAAGAATTAGGTTTTCATATTTGAACTATAAAAGTGTAGTTACCTCTCACTACATTTATTGTCGATATTTCGAGTATCTTTGTTTCTTAAAATCATTAATATTGTTATAAAGGTACTTCACATTTGATCGACCAACAAAATATCAAGAAATTTTTTTTTTTTTTTATTTGATGCTCGCTAATAATATCTTGTGCCATAGATAATCTAATTGTTTTATACGTATCCCTCTGTCTCTTAGCTCACTGTGTGTGATTCAATAATTCAAACATATCGCATGTATGAAAACATAATTATTATATTGAATAAAATGTTCTTCTAGCTGGATTTGACTTTGCGGATGCACTTGTATAATATATCTGTTTACACGATTTCCCGCTGACGCTGTAAATAAACAATAACACAAAATTAAGATAAAACTTATATTTAATTATTCATTTAGAGTCACAATCTGACAGATTACAAGTTAAAATTTTAAATCATGTCCATGCAGAATCAATCAAGATAACTAAATGAATAGTTTTAAATTGTATTTTTCTCCATTTATTTAAGTGTATCAGAATTCCTAATGGATTCAAAAATGTAACTTTAGTTACTGTTTTTACAATATATCTACTAAAATCAAAAACAAATTATGTCGTACTTCTAAAATCCTGGCACCCTTCGGCCTCTCTGAAATGCGCTCCTGTTGACGTGTGAGTGGTGTATTTTTTTTTCAGATTGTCAAGATGCTGTTGAACACCGACTGCAAGTGTCACGGGGTGTCGGGCAGCTGCACGATGAAAACGTGCTGGCACAGTTTGCCGCACTTCCGGGAGGTCGGCAAAGCGCTGATGCGGAAGTATAAGGACGCGCGCAGCGTGTCCGCAACCGCGGTGGTGGCTGGAGGTAACCAGAGGAGTTCGGGGAAACGGTCATCCAGGCGACTCAGGTTGAAACTCAGATCGACCCGGTCGCCGGCGGCAGCCGATCCGACCGAAGAGGAGCCCAGGATCACTGAACTCGTTTACCTGGAACAGTCACCCAACTACTGCGACCGGGACTTCGGTACTGGGTCCTTGGGCACGTACGGTCGATCCTGCAACCGGACTTCAGAAGGTGAGTTCGGCGAACGACTGATTCCCGGATCGGGTAGGGGATAGGAGGGGATAAGTGTACTGATGCCAGATCGTAAGGAATACCGTCGATATCCGTGCGTCAATTGTAACTCCGCCGCAGTGATTTCTATTCTACACTCTGTAGATTTGCACCCTCCTCCTACCTATAAATTGAAAAAATCGATCACCATTTTTCGTGTACTAACCAACAAACCGTACAATATTCGGAATTAATCGATAAAAATTGTATTTCGCAATAACTGCTTGCGTCTCTCCAGAAATGTGTACACGCCCTTCAAGGGGGGCGCGACCCCCAGTTTGGAAACCAGTGTTCTGACAATTAGATTGTTTATCGGTCAGGTGACAGGTTCTTCTGTTTGTACCAGAATACGATCGTTCGGCCACAATAACACGTTTAACCTACGGCCTTTGGCAAGGTAACGAACTCAAGGAAAATCGGTGTTTCTTCGAATTTCGTCCGGTGCAAAAAACAACGGTGTCCCCTGCGCAACGTGTATCCGGATACAACGACTATTACGTTCGCACGATTAAATATTAATACGGTTGAAATTCAAAACGGACACGAAATCGTAATGGAACTGAATCGCGCATACATTTTTTTACTAAACGTTTAACCGTTTTCTCCGTCAAACGGAAAAAACCACAACAACAACAAAGCTCATGCGTTTGTTTAATACATTTATTTTTTTATCTCTGTCGTTTCTATATACTTTTGATTTATTACTGAAGGACCTGTACTACCGATAAAATGTGCGAAAAACGTTTTCGGTCCCCGTCCGGAGGATCGTACTTATTGCACTATTATTATTATTACTACAACCGTTTGGAATTCTGTTTCACAGGCACGGACGGCTGCGACCTTTTGTGCTGCGGACGAGGGTACAACACGCACCAGTTCACCAGGACCAAACAGTGCCGGTGCACGTTTTACTGGTGCTGTTACGTCAAGTGCGACACGTGTGTGGAACGAACCGAGGAGTACAGTTGCAAATGACTGGACCAGGTGCAGCCGATGCGACATCCCTAATAATAATAATCGCCGAGCGATCGCAATGTTTAACTAATACAATACCATTGCCATCGTCTTTTTTTTCATTTTAACAACATTATAATTATTATTATTTAATCATCATCGTCGTTGTCGTAGCGCAATACATCCGCGGATTCGTATAACAACTGGACGGGTCGGTTACATCGTAATGATCGCAGGACGTATTTTCGATACGATCATTGTTATTCACGTCCCGTCGGTGAAACGTTTACAAAACGTTTTTCATCATTTTTAGCACCGCGTCCTAATGCCGGAATCGATGACCGTACACCGTCGTCGGTAAACCCGCGGAGTCGTGTTGTACACCAATGCCGTGCTCGTGTCACCGTTAAGGGCCCCACACACGGTCAGTTTATCTGTGAAATTCATCTGTGCAAATAATTGAATATAAATTGTACAGTTATCTGAACTGAAGGTGTGTAGGCTACTCGAAGTTTTTTCCTAGGTTATATTCACAGTTCTCTCAGTTTTCCAGTACAGTATAGTACGGAAATCGTTCGGTTACCACAGTGTACAGTTCGTGTTTTTAATGATGGGTGACCGAAAAATAAATGCAGATTTGTGTTGTTTGGTAGCTGCTTTTTTTTATGCGATACGTGTGACACTCACTACTGGAAAGACGAGACAAGAATGTATGAGCTGTGCGGTTACCTATGCTAACTGCACGGTTCATCGGTACAAAGTAGAACTTATTGCACAGATAAAAAAATTGAGTAAAAACCTAATGGAACTGTTACCTCAGTTAATTGCACAGACATGACGTCACACGTGATAAAATGCACAGTTGAACTTATAGTGTGCGGGGGCCCGCACCGTAATTAAGGATTTTTATGTACATACATACGGTAGACGACTGTCCGGTTCTTATACGAAACCCGAGTGCACGCTTACTTGTTACGTTCGTGCAATGCGCCCTGCGTTCGGGTGTACGGATTTCACACGAAATTAACATATGTAATCGTGTGGTATATCTATGTTTATATTTATGTATATTTTGTACGAATAAAACAGTTCGTCTGCACCACGTGTAATCATTGTGTCATGTTGTACGATATTGGCATACAATACAGTATCCTAACCTAGTGAGGGTTTTTTTTTCCACCATAACCTTTACCCCGCACTCCGCCAGCCTCAACAAGCGGCTATTGCGGAGTCCAATTAAGTTGTGTTCTTTTTTTTTTTTACATTATTTTACATTTTTTTTTTTTTTTTTTATAATTTGCACACGCACACACGCGGGTCAAGTAGTAGTCGTTCTTGACTCCACTCACGTCATCGACACGATCGCGTGAGCGTATATTGTATTACGCGTACGCGTCTCGAAAGTGAGGAGCGGCGAGTTGATTGTAGCAAATTAACTCGAGTTAATCGAGTTCAGTGGGTACGAGAACATTAAACGTGGCGAGTAATAAATTAACAGATAATACAAATGTTTGCTTTTAAAATTAGGAGAAAAAAAAACATCAGCTCAAGGAGATTGCCAAAAAAAAATAAATCCATTGAATTTTAACTGCAGTACTATTAAGGGATGCGTAATATAGCGATCGAACTACTTTTTTTTTTTATTAAATTTGTATCACTTTTTTGTTTCCAGCCGTTGGAGTCCTGCGTGATAACTTGAAAATATATCGAACGCGATTTTAATACGTGCGTTACGCCAGCACCGCCCATTAAGAAAATTTGATTTTTTTTACTATCAATAATTAGCACGTAATTAGCATGAATTTGCATGACCATTTTCGCAATTCGCATGTCATCAATTTCTCCGGAATCACAAAAATTAACGGGCAGTGCTGGCGAAACGTTTCGCCAGCACTGCGCAATCGCAAAAATGGAATTTCATATATTTTTTCATAGCCATTATTTAGTACGCAATTAGCATGAATTTGCACGACTATCCCCGAAATTCGCTCGATCGTTGTTTCCGTGCAATAACGTATCCAAGAATTTGCGTGTTTCGCCAGCACCGCCCAAAATCGAAATTTTACGATTTCCTAAAATTCAACTACGCCATTGTTTAGCACGCAATTAGCATGAATTTTGCACGACTATCACTTGCATATTTTCGCGAATTTCGCATATTTCGTAAACATTTGAACTCTATGCACTTATAAAAATAAAATTGTGACTTACACTTTTTCTTTTTTTTATATCCGATAAGGAAAACTTATAAGGCACTCTGTATTAAATTTTCAAGATTTTTTGAGCGGCCAAATTTTTAATCGATATTTAAAAAAAAAAATCCATAATTTAAATTGTCAATAAATAGCTCAAAAAATATCAAAATGCTTTGAAAATTTGACTGTCTATAGACAACACTAATGTAAATATTTGGTGAAAATTTTAAGTTTTTAAACTTATTATTTTTTGAGTTATTGTAAAATAAAAGTGTGGAGCATACTCAAAACCTCGTGCATGAAAGAGATAAACAAAGAAATCCCCCCGCCGCGTCTATATTACACTTACCGTCATCACTAGGAGACTGTCGCGGGCGGCCGTGGTGTCATAATAATAGTATAATCACTATAATATTATAGTAAAAATCTAACTTAAAATATTAAAGAACAAAAAAGCTCAAAACAAAGAAATTCGTAAAATTTCGATTTTGGGCGGTGCTGGCGAAACGCGCAAATTCATGCTAATTGCGTGCTAAACAATGGCTATGAAAAAATATATGAAATTCCATTTTTGCGATTCCGGAGAAATGGATGACATGCAAATTGCGAAATTGGTCATGCAAATTCATGCTAATTACGTGCTAATTATTGATAGTAAAAAAAATCAAATTTTCCTAATGGGTGGTGCTGGCGTAACGCACGTGATTTTAATTCAATAAGAATAATATTTTATTATTATTTAAACTAAATATTAATTGGTAGTACATTTATTTAAATTTATTTTAAGCCAACTACACGGAGCAATACAATTCATTACGAACAATTGGTACGTCAAGATATTTAAACTATCATCTCTTTACTTAAATTATTAATTAGTTCACCGCGATTCATCATTGGTACATATTCATGACGTACATATGTGTGCATTTTATTGCATTTTGCCTTCCATCCGGACTCGGATATATTTATGTATGTTATGGAATCGTTGCTGACTAATCATTTTCGATATTAATCTTTTCCGGTAACATACATAAATTAAATTTGCGGAATCGTTTATGTTTATGAATGGTTATTAAGATTTACACGATTCGGCAAATTATGCCGAATCGTCATGTAGCCAACAACAAGACGATAAAAAGAAAAATGTTAATATTGTCATTACGAGTAACGAGATTTCTAATAGTACTCGCAGCGATAAAAATGTCGGCAATAACTGCTCCAGGTTAGTTAGACTTATATCAAAAAAAAAAAAAAAATTAGTGAAGGACTTAAGAAAAAACTTATTTATATATGTCTCATAAATGTCATAACACTTATAATTGTTAAATCCTAATTCTTTACAGTATTTGGCACACAGACACATAGAAGGAATTTTTTTATAATCAAGATGCGTAGAAAAATGTAAAATATAATTTTCTATTCAATAACGTAGAAAATTGTTGGTGAAATATTATTAGCATATAATTTTTACGATAGAAATAATTTTTATTTTTCTAAAATAATCCAAATATCGCGAAATTCTAGCTCAAAAGAGTGAAGATTAAGTCAAAAAGAAAAAAAAATGATTTTTATCGCATCTCGTACATTAAATATTGATAACGATTATATTCATTTTATAGTTATAATGTTTAAACTGAAGCAAGAATATTTAATTTATTACCATTGTGCATATTGTATTACTCAATTGTGTCGTAACACTTGTAATCATAGAATTCTATGAATAAAATATAAACTATAAAATGATGGTAATTTAAAATGAATGTAGTGATAATTATTTTGGGAATTAGCGTAAACGTTATTATTATTTATTCATATTTTGTTAAAATTAATTTTAATTAGTTTTATAAATCAATTATGATTTTAGATTATTAAATTTTAATTTTTATAATGTAATATTTATAAAAAATTTTATTCAGAAGTTAGAATTTATAAATTATAAATATTTTTCTGAAAAAAAAAAATTGCCTAATTGTTTTATATTTCTTCTAAGAAATATATTCTAAGTATATAGGTATAATGTATATTTACTACTCTGTCTTTCCTACTTTTATATTTTCTATTTGTTAGCATATTAGTAAACTCATTAAAATATAGGTCAGTAAACTAATTTACAGTATTTTATATAAAAATACATCCAAAGTAGCTAATTTGAGTGTTATGATTGTTTGGTAATCAATTAATTATTTTGGAATGGATTTAAAAGTACGATAAAAAAAACTAATTACTCTAGATAGTTCTCTTTATTTCGATGACCAAGTAATATAGTCTATGGTGAATATGTTAATCAATTAAAAATGTTCTTTTTTTTTTTTAAATAAAAATAAAAACAATAATGAAACGTCTACTAAGAATTTACATTGAATTACTTCGTAAAACAATTTTTTGCGCATGAAGTAATGATATACCTATCACGTTTTTTCTCGTATTTATAAGTAAAATTATGATCTTACGATTTCTTATGACTAATACAATTGGATACAGGATCGTAGAAAGCTTAAACTTGAATTGTAGGTACACGAAAAAGATAACAGTTGTAATTGAGTTTCGTTAATCTTATTCCGGTTGACGTAACGTCGTTAAAGAGGTGAAACGTAAATTAATCATAAGAATAAAGTGAACTTAGTTCCGAACAATTAACAAAAGGAGCAACAGAATATTTGTTAACGTTTATGAAATTTTACTTAAGCAGCGTGATAAAATTACAGGAGGAAATATGTTTGGAAAGATAATTATTTATATTTTAACTATTTTAACAGACTCATACATACGTGGTTGTACTTAGTTATATGTTTAGCTACCCGATGCGAAAAAATTTAAAATAAAAAACTGCCACAATTTGCATCCATTATTAACACAATTTTTTTTTTTACTGTTCACCTGAATATTTTTGTGGTGTTTATCCATGATTGATACGGTTCGCTTTTCGACCAGTTAACCCCAGTTTAAACCCTCTTTATTCAACTCCGATTTATGGTACTTGAACGTGCACACGGTGCAATCAATTGATAAAATCCCACAATCCAATAATATACTTCGTCATAGACAACTGACTCATGGACACCTGACTTTGTACCGTGTTTGTCTGTTTTAATGTCATGCGGAAGTTAAACGACGTCCTCAATTAAACTACGTCCTCAGTTAGTATGGTGCCAATTAGCCAATTATCAGGTCATGAAATGCCTCGTTGTCTAAAGTAATGGCAGCCATGTGATTAATGTTTCGGTGATGGTCTTCAAGGTGGGTAGGTCATCCGCTCCATGCCCATGTACGACCATGGCCGTACAACATAGTATCCCACCGTAGAGCTAAACCGAAGCATTTTATTTCGAGTCCTAATCATATTCGTCATAATATTCCAACATTCTTAATTCCAAGTGCGAGCAAGTTTAAGATGTTTTTTTACCAGTTGTGGCTCTCGGCTATAGTAGCTATAACTCAGTGGCTCTTTCAGTCAGGCACGTGGTATTAGAGGGGGTATAGGAGCGATGCCCCCCCAAATGTCAAGAAACAAAACGAAAAAAAGTTTATAATATTATATGTCTAGCAATGATAAAAATTATATTTCTTCTATAACAACTATGTATTGAAATGTTTTCAAAAACCAAAAGAAAATTAGATTTCGCTCTATTTAATTTCATATTTTTTTTATTGTTGTTAAATGTACCTATTTATTTATTTTTAAAACTCTTAGTTGAAATTTTATTCCTTTACAGTATTGAAAAAATATTTATGATAAACGGTAATACTTATATTATTATATTATTATATTATTATTGAATTTTATACATTATATTGTGTCACAATATATTGTGTCCACAATATAAAATGCAACCCCTCCCATCTAATAATTATTTTGAATCCGCGACTTCTTTCAGTTCCAGAGTAAAAGCATTTTTAAATTTGTTGTTTGATCG